TTGAATATAGTCCAAATAAGTCTCCAACACACAATTGATACAACAAAACTCACCAAGTATTTGGTATACCACCAGTTGTGTGTCCCCCTAATGTTGACATTCCTAGCCCTCAAGTCAACTAGCATCTCCAACCTAACCCATAGAGCTTCATACTCACCTTGGTAGTTGGTACACGGGGAATCATGGGTAAAAGAAAAATGCATTGCATTCTTTGATGGGGAGGTGAGAACTACTCCAACTCATGCCCCCTTGTCTTGGACCCATCAACGTATAAGTTTCAGGGGGTCTCATCAACCATGCCTACCTCTATTATCTTTGGTGGTACATCCACACTTGGGTGATCGTCCAAGAAGTCGTCCAAGGCTTGCCCCTTTATAGCCTTTTTTGTAACATAATGTAAATTAAACTCGGATAGAGCAAGTGTCCATTTATCAATCCTTCCATGGATGATTGGTCAGGACAACATATACTTAATCAAATCAGTCTTACAGATAAGTTGTACTTGCACATGCATCAAGTAGTACCTTAACTTCATACATGAAAAATATAAAGCTAAACACAATTTTTCTATGGGAGAGTACTTTAGCTCAGCCCCATTTAACAATCTACTTAAGTAATAGACAACCTGCTCTTGGCCTAAATCATTGTCTTGATCCAACAAACATGATACAGATGTATCAGTGGCTGAAAGATACAACTTTAAAGGCCGACGTGGAATTGGAGAGTTGAGTACTGGCGGGCTCGCCAAGTACCTCTTGACTTCATCGAAAGCTTTTTGATACTCTTGATGCCATGCAAACTCCTCTTCATTCTTCAACTTCAACAAGGGGGAGAACACTTGAGTCCGACCAGCACAATCTGAGATGAAACGTCGAATGTAGTTAACTTGGCCTAGGAACTTATGTAGCTCTTTCTTGTTATTTGGTGGCATGGCCTCGATTATGTCCTTAGTCTTAATTTCTTCAATCTAAATGCCATGTTAGTTCACCAGGAACCCCATGAAATTTCCTGTAGATACCCTAAAAGCACACTTAAGTAGGTTTAACTTCAAATTGTGAGCCCTTATACGTAGAAAAGCTTTTCGAAGGTGGATGAGATGCTGACTTGTTACCTTAGACTTGACAACAATGTCGTCTATATATACCTCCACCACCAGACCAATCAAGTAATGAAAGATGGCATTCATGGCCCGTTGGTAAGTTGTACTTGCATTCTTCAAGCCAAAAGACATGACCACTCACTCATAGCACCCAATGGCTCCAGGACATCGGTATGTGGTTTTGTGGATGTCTTCCTCAGCTATGAAAATTTGATTATAACCTGAATAATAATCAATGAATAAAAAATTATTATGCCTAGTCACTACATTAAGTAACATGTCAGCTATGGGCATGGGATATTCATCCTTAGGGGTGGCTAAGTTTAGATTTCTAAAATCTACACATACACGTAGCTTGCCATTTTTCTTTCTAATCGGCACAATATTAGATAACCATTCCACATATCTACCAGGTCTGATATACATAGCTTTCAATAATCGTTCGACTTCTTTTTTATCTCTGGAAAGACCTCATAGGAAAAACGCCTAGGGGATTGTTTAAAGGTTATAAAGCTAGTACTAATGGGCAATCTATGCTCCACTAACTTTCAATACAGACTAGACATTCATGATAATCCCAAGCAAAGAAATCTTTAAATTCTGTTAATAAATTAATTAACTCATACCTTTCGGACTCAGAGAGCATGACAATAATGAAGGTGGGACGTGGGTTGTCCTTAGTGCCAAGGTTGATGTCCTCCAATGCATCACGAGATGTCATATGTTCTTCGTCTTCTTAAACTATATTTGGTCCTTCGCCTTCTTCAGGCAAGTCATCCTCGGGAACACAATCAACCATCAATACTTGTTCTTCCCATGCCAGCCTTAGTTCACATTGATAAGCGACCAACTTCTCCATTAAGGCCGCGACTTCGGCCTCCCCTGCCACCTTGTCATGAAGTGGTTTACTCATCATCAACATTAGCTTCAGACTTGGGTGGACCATCTAAAGCAAACATTGATGGTCTCACAATCTCAGATAGTGGGTCTAAGCAAGTTTTGCTCAACACCTTAGCACTTGAAACCACTACGGTGCAAGTCCCTCCATCCATACTCCTAACTTCTAAGGGGCCAAAGTCTCCTTGGTATAGTAGAGCTTCAGCCACACTAGCACCGACAGCAAAGGGCTTGTTATCCGCTTGAACTACTTCTACTGCCCCCTCTTCGTTCCAAAACATCAAGCATTGGTGGAGAGAGGATGGGACACCCTTGTTAGCATGGATCCAATCCATTTCCAATAAAGCATTATAGCTTATTTCCCCATCTACTACAAAGAAAGCCAACATCTTTTCCGGACTACCAACTCCAACTATGACTGGTAGTATCCTTCTAGCCGAAGTTGACCCCCATTGAAACTTGTAACAAATATATCAATGGGAACCAAGTCACCTGTGCTCTTTCCAAACTTCCTCAACATTCTAGTAGACATCACATTTACAGCAACACCGTTACCAACTAGGACCCTTGACATGGGTACCCCATTCAACCTAGCCTTGATATATAAAAGCTTCAGTTGCCTTAGCATACTTGGCTTTGACTCGTTGAGAACCACTAAGTGATTGCCATCACTTGTGTTCTCACACATTAACTTCTTCCCTTTCAAGGTGGCTACTTGCAAGACTTTCTCCTCTCTCGGAAAACTCTCTTCCTTTTCCCCCAAACCCTCGGCCTCGCTATCAAACTCAGATCCCAGGAAGGGTTCTAGATGAGTAATGACGATGAAGCTTCAGGGCCCTGATATAACACATAACAAGGGTATCTCCCATCATATTCACCAAGCAAACCCACACTCTTATGGCCTGCCTCATGGAGTTCCTTCAAGATTTATTGATAACTCTTACCTTGGCTTGCCACCTCAGCAGCTAGATCAATCTAGCTTCCCAAACGAGCCATGGCTCATCACTAGCTTCCAAACGAGCAAATGTCTCGACCAACTCGACAAGCGACCCATCCTCATCTTCAGCTTCCTTTACCCCCTCTTCACTCTCCACATACCCATGTTGATCTTCTACGTTGAACTAAAATACCATGGGTAGTATATAGTTTGTAACCACCATTGGTGGCAAACTCTCAAACTTGGATGGTTAGAGGGGGGGCCTTGATCATCCCCTTCATTGTCTTTCTTGGTCCTGTCTAACTTGGGGTTGAAGCGTTCATACTTGAGCATGTCTTCCCCAGTATACTCATGTAACATCCCGTTCCGGCAAAAAACATATTTCGATCGCTAGAAAGTTTGCGATTTAAAATCGATCATTTTGGCCGTATTTCGACGAAAATCGGATTATTGATCGATCGGATAAATACACATATTAATTTTATATATATATATATATATATATATATATATATATATATATATATATATATATAAAGAAAAGAGAGGTGAAGCGGCCGGGGTTAAGGGCCGCCCACCATTTCACATTAATATAAAAACCTCCCCGGTCCATTTTACTTCCCATCTCTTTTCTCTTCTGCCTTTCTTTTCATTTCCTGGAGCGAGAGGAAAGCTCCACCAGAGAGCGCACAGGGTACGTTGAGGAGAATTTTCCAAAGCTCAAATCTTGAGTTCTAGTCGTCCGAAAATCCTGTAAGTAATGCCTAATTCATCTATACATCGTGATTTATTGATTTAGAGCTTTAAAACGAGTTTTTGGTTTAGGAATTTCTTGAATTCCCGATAAGCCAAGTTAGGGTTTCGGAGTATCCGGAAGCCGGATTAAGCCCAAATTTCATATACGAGCTTCCTGCAGCAAGGTAATCAATCTTCTAGTTCTAATCCATGAATTTCGGCAATTATTTAGGTCGGGGTCCAAATCGCTGAATTTAGCTCCGGCCAAGGTTTGATGTGTTTTTATCAAGAATTTGACCTGGAGCCTAGAACTAATATTGATGGGGATACTGCAGGGGATATTAGGACGGTCTCGGATTTTAATTCGGGGTTCGTTCGTGAAATTGACGTTTTAGTACGGGAAGGTTAAACCGGTGTTTGAACGACCAGAACTGGTGAGGGATTAGCACGGCATACCGGGTTTGTCGTATCACGATAATTATGTTGATGCTTAGAATTGACCTAGGTGAACTAGAATGGCATGATTAGGGGTGTATGAACTTTTGTGCTATCTGTTGAACCCTGGATTGTTGTATGATATTATTGACTTGCCCTAATCGATATGAACCTTGTTTATGCTGATGATTTCGTATATGTTGCAAATTGTGGGCTTGACTGTTGATATGCCTTATGATGGTTCGAAAAGGTGATTGGGTATGACATTTCATGATTGATGTATTTGGATGTACAAGTGGGAAAATATATATCTCCTGGTGATATTATGATGTTTAAGGAGGATGACTTGCACGAGGGTTTATCCTGAGGAAGTGCAATTATACGACTCCTGGTTTACCTATGTTGAGCCAATTATGGCCAGGTCAAGTACATGTGCAAGTAATGAATTATGATTAAGCAAGATGAGATATGAATCATGAATAAGGATACCAAATATGAATGTTGTGGTCTCACGGTCAACTACATAGTAATTAGGGCTCCCTATGCTATTACTCTATTATGATATGTATGATAGTCACACCTCTCTTGTGGTGGTGACTGAAGATTTCTTATGAGATATGACCACACCCAGAGTGGTGTCGGGGTATGACTACACCCATAGTGGTGTGGGGTATGTATGACCACATCCGACGGGATGTTGGGGTATGTATGACTACATCCGACGGGATGTGGGGTATGTTTCCCGGGAGAGTTATTAGCATGGGAGTAGCCAGGCGCCTATGATTAAAACATGATAAGATGCATATGCATAAGTCAAGGTGGTTGAGTCTTTTGCCTATTGGGATGTCGGATGCCTGAGGTCTGATCCTAGTGCTTGGGCTTATTTGCTAGATGTATGGTAGGGGTATGCTCTGTTATGAACTCACGATGCTATGATTATCTCACTCAGCTATGAGCTGACCCTCTTTTATCCTTTTCCTCTGCTTATGCTATGTGTAAGCAGATCATCAGCAGTAGCAGTAGCAGTAGCAAGTACTTAGGTGTGGGTAGAGCGAGGAGTTGAAGGCAGGATGAGGTATTGTCTTCAACTATTTTGTGCTTGGACTACTACTCGGGATTTTGGCCAGTGATCCACACCTTTTTGTAAAAATGTTTTTAGAACGTTTTTCATGTGCATACTAGCTTCTGATGTAGTGTGAGATATCCACAGAAGTGGAAAGTTGATGATATGTGTATAGTTGTGTAATTGTGTAAGTTGTGATGATTATGGCATGTATAAGTATGGTATGCAGTTGTGGAGTATGAAACTGTGCCTATGGCTATGAAAGCCAATGCATATGGTTGTGAGTATATATGTTTGTGATGAATGATTTTGCAGGATAAGTTGCAAGAACTGTTAGCCCATTATGCGAGTAATTCATGTCGAGATTTTATTTGGGTAAATTTTGATAATTAATGTAACACCCAAGATTAATTCCGCTGCAATTGTATGAACAATATGATTAGGTAATACGTACAGGGTAGGGTGTTACAGTTTGGTATCAGAGCTGGTTTGTTTTCTGCATTATGGGTATGTTACTTTCACTCTTGAGGACTGATCACCCTCAAAAGGGCAGGAAGTACTCCATACCTGTATTTGCACTAAACTTTCCAGGATTGGGACCAAAGGTGATGACGTGTTGCATAGTCCGTTGCATATGGTCAAACATGATTTTGAGTATTTGAAGTATTCTTGAAAAAGTTATGGTTTAAAAGATTTTTGAAAATTATGTGGAGTTTTAATCTTGTTTTACAAGTTATTATTTTGGAGAAAGTTTTAATGGTGTGTGGATCAAGTTATGGCCAATATTTCCTTGTAGCTCGCACATAAGTTGTCCTAGAAATCCTACTAACCAATCGAGAAGCATGGTGGCTAGCTATGTAATGCAGTTGAGTTTAGGCTATGCTAACATGATGAGTTGTGATGGTAGATATTTGAATAGAAATATGAATATGGATGATTTTGTGGTAACCATTTTGTAGGTTGATATAACCTTGTGTTAGTGGCAACCTACTTTGCAGGTTAACAACCTTGCTTAGTAAGTTATGTTTTGAAATTGTTGATGTGCTTTTGTTGTGATAACCCGATATAGGTTTTTGAAACCTTATATTGGGAACTTGAGGTGTTATGTATTTAGTTATGTACTTCAGATCTCCTAACCTAAGAGTTAGGTAGTAACAACATATGTGATAGTGTCTGCCAGGAGGAGAACGAGCGGATGCGTAGTATCAACTCAAGGTTAGATTTCGGGGACGAAATCTTTTAAGGAGGGGAGAATTGTAACATCCCGTTCCGGCAAAAAACATATTTCGATCGCTAGAAAGTTTGCGATTTAAAATCGATCATTTTGGCCGTATTTCGACGAAAATCGGATTATTGATCGATCGGATAAATACACATATTAATTATATATATATATATATATAATATATATAAAGAAAAGAGAGGTGAAGCGGCCGGGGTTAAGGGCCGCCCACCATTTCACATTAATATAAAAACCTCCCCGGTCCATTTTACTTCCCATCTCTTTTCTCTTCTGCCTTTCTTTTCATTTCATGGAGCGAGAGGAAAGCTCCACCAGAGAGCGCACAGGGTACGTTGAGGAGAATTTTCCAAAGCTCAAATCTTGAGTTCTAGTCGTCCGAAAATCCTGTAAGTAATGCCTAATTCATCTATACATCGTGATTTATTGATTTAGAGCTTTAAAACGAGTTTTTGGTTTAGGAATTTCTTGAATTCCCGATAAGCCAAGTTAGGGTTTCGGAGTATCCGGAAGCCGGATTAAGCCCAAATTTCATATACGAGCTTCCTGCAGCAAGGTAATCAATCTTCTAGTTCTAATCCATGAATTTCGGTAATTATTTAGGTCGGGGTCCAAATCGCTGAATTTAGCTCCGGCCAAGGTTTGATGTGTTTTTATCAAGAATTTGACCTGGAGCCTAGAACTAATATTGATGGGGATACTGCAGGGGATATTAGGACGGTCTCGGATTTTAATTCGGGGTTCGTTCGTGAAATTGACGTTTTAGTACGGGAAGGTTAAACCGGTGTTTGAACGACCAGAACTGGTGAGGGATTAGCACGGCATACCGGGTTTGTCGTATAACGATAATTATGTTGATGCTTAGAATTGACCTAGGTGAACTAGAATGGCATGATTAGGGGTGTATGAACTTTTGTGCTATCTGTTGAACCCTGGATTGTTGTATGATATTATTGACTTGCCCTAATCGATATGAACCTTGTTTATGCTGATGATTTCGTATATGTTGCAAATTGTGGGCTTGACTGTTGATATGCCTTATGATGGTTCGAAAAGGTGATTGGGTATGACATTTCATGATTGATGTATTTGGATGTACAAGTGGGAAAATATATATCTCCTGGTGATATTATGATGTTTAAGGAGGATGACTTGCACGAGGGTTTATCCTGAGGAAGTGCAATTATACGACTCCTGGTTTACCTATGTTGAGCCAATTATGGCCAGGTCAAGTACATGTGCAAGTAATGAATTATGATTAAGCAAGATGAGATATGAATCATGAATAAGGATACCAAATATGAATGTTGTGGTCTCACGGTCAACTACATAGTAATTAGGGCTCCCTATGCTATTACTCTATTATGATATGTATGATAGTCACACCTCTCTTGTGGTGGTGACTGAAGATTTCTTATGAGATATGACCACACCCAGAGTGGTGTCGGGGTATGACTACACCCATAGTGGTGTGGGGTATGTATGACCACATCCGACGGGATGTTGGGGTATGTATGACTACATCCGACGGGATGTGGGGTATGTTTCCCGGGAGAGTTATTAGCATGGGAGTAGCCAGGCGCCTATGATTAAAACATGATAAGATGCATATGCATAAGTCAAGGTGGTTGAGTCTTTTGCCTATTGGGATGTCGGATGCCTGAGGTCTGATCCTAGTGCTTGGGCTTATTTGCTAGATGTATGGTAGGGGTATGCTCTGTTATGAACTCACGATGCTATGATTATCTCACTCAGCTATGAGCTGACCCTCTTTTATCCTTTTCCTCTGCTTATGCTATGTGTAAGCAGATCATCAGCAGTAGCAGTAGCAGTAGCAAGTACTTAGGTGTGGGTAGAGCGAGGAGTTGAAGGCAGGATGAGGTATTGTCTTCAACTATTTTGTGCTTGGACTACTACTCGGGATTTTGGCCAGTGATCCACACCTTTTTGTAAAAATGTTTTTAGAACGTTTTTCATGTGCATACTAGCTTCTGATGTAGTGTGAGATATCCACAGAAGTGGAAAGTTGATGATATGTGTATAGTTGTGTAATTGTGTAAGTTGTGATGATTATGGCATGTATAAGTATGGTATGCAGTTGTGGAGTATGAAACTGTGCCTATGGCTATGAAAGCCAATGCATATGGTTGTGAGTATATATGTTTGTGATGAATGATTTTGCAGGATAAGTTGCAAGAACTGTTAGCCCATTATGCGAGTAATTCATGTCGAGATTTTATTTGGGTAAATTTTGATAATTAATGTAACACCCAAGATTAATTCCGCTGCAATTGTATGAACAATATGATTAGGTAATACGTATAGGGTAGGGTGCTACAACTCATCAATCTCATCATCATACCCATCAACTTCCCCTTTTACTCCTTCTTCCAACCCTTCCTTCCCCCATCACTTTGGACTTGGACATGCTTGCCCTTATCAGTCACTATGACTTTGAGACCTGTAGCCATGGAGTTGTCCACCTCGATACTAGCTGGAACATCATCATCCAGTTGTGATAGTCTAACCGTCCCACCAAGTATTATTGGTATTGTCTCTAACGTGCTTCGACATTCTGACGTAGGAATCTCCTCCTTTGAGTCCTTGTCATTCCCCCAATAGTAAATGGTTGTTGACGTAGTATGCCACCCTCCTTGCGGCACATTGGGAATCTTGAAAGTCCTTCTCACGGGAAGAGAGTCATGTGCTATCTATTGCCTCCTTTGCCCCCAATCCGGTTGAATGACCCCCTCTTCTTGTCTTTTAGAATATGGGTATCTCGACCTAGGGGGTGGGGAAATTCTTTGTTGGACTGGTCAATTCGGTCTCACATCATCAAGTCTAAGATTCCTTTTGCATTGGGCACATAGCTTCTCCACCTTACTTGACCCCTCAGAAGCGGCCGAGTTGGCCTGCGTACCCCTTGATAACTCTCCTTGCTCGAACACCACATTGGGGGACCCTTGTTGTGGTGTTGTATTTAACACCAACTTGAAATGGGGAAACTCAATCTTGGATAATTCTGGGTTAACCATGTTGACGCCAATCACGTTGGGAAACAGGTTGGTATCAACCAGTATTACATCCTTCTTTGGCTCAGGGGAACTTGATGACATCCTGCAATACATTACAATAAACCACACATGAGTCAGGGAGTGTGACATGCTATTACGCCACTTACAATATTTCTTTCACTTTAACTTCTCAGGGGGTGAGATGTTATGCCCGCTGTCAACTTGATTTGACCATCTTTGTAGAGTTGGTCAAAAATCAAGTAAGCTTTGGAAACATCAAAGGAATACTTCTGTGGTTGGATGAGGGCGCGATTTGGTCTACCCCCTTGTGGTTCATTGTCCATCTTATCTAAAGGAGCACATACATATGGATTCCCCGGAGTTATCTCAACCAGGTCTACCTCCACCTCATTGGCCTCTAGGCCAATATGGTTAATAGGGTAGCCGATGTTGGGAAAGTATTTCCCCCTTGAGGCACTCCTCTTATTCTCCTCTTCTTGAAAAAGAGATTCGTACCTCACCGCATAAGACATAAGTTGGAACAAGTCGGAGAGCTCTCTGTCTTGGAATTTCTTCCTTAGCTCAAAAGTCAACCCCCTTTGTGCGAACTTGACAAACTCTCTCTCTTGTTAGGTTAACAAAGCAACGGTTACGAGCATTCTTGAAGTTTGTCAAGAAATGCTCCACCGACTCCCTTGGCTCTTGGCACAATCGTGCCAAGTCAACCATGGAAACCTCACGCTCGGATCTATAGAATTGAGCATGGAAAATTTGCTCCATTTGTTGCCATGTATAGACGGAGTTGGATGGCAAGTTGACATACCAAGCAAAAGTAGGTCTTGCCAATGAGTTGCCAAATACTCTTAACTTAATAAAATCTCCTACGTCTCCACACTAGACAGTAAAATGTCTAATGTGCTCCATAGTAGACTAATCTCCTGTTCCAGTTAACGTGGCAAACTCGGGCACCCTAAAACCCCTTGGGAATCGATAAAGTCTATCCATCCACTCACGGTATGGTTTCCTATACACGGGTGGCATGGTGGGTCTCACTACCATGCCGAATTGCTCGACGAGAAGTTGAGCCACTTGGTCCCTTAGAGTGTTGGGATCATGCGCCACTTATTGCCCCCCTTAGGGTATGAATCCCATGGATCCATGTCATGCCCATTGAAATGGGATGGCATGGGTGTTGGGTATGCCCACGGAGGAACTTGATCTCCCCCACCTAACCCTACTCCCCCTCCCAAGTGAGCAGGCGCCGTATAAGGCCTTGCCATTGGTATGGGTATGGGTGGTGGTTCGACTGGTGCATAATGTGTAACTTCCAAATTCTCACCACATGGGAGAATTTCTCCAACTCCCACATTGGCTATCAACTCCACTTGAGTAGTGGTGGGAATCTCGCCGCAATTCATGCGCTGGAAGATTGGTTGGTTTGTCATTGCCAGTTAGAAGTTATCTTGTCGTGGCTGACCATTTCCGCCGCCTATGGGAGATGAACTAAAATTTCCAGTATTGCTATTGAGGTTTGGATTCTTGCCATCTAATGATAGAGCTCTAGATTGAACTATTGGTGTGGTTAAAAATTTTCTAAACTCATCAAAATCATTTTTGTTTTTATTAACCACTTCAACCAATTGGCTCAGACGTCTATCTACTCGATAATAAAGACAGCCCATTTGAGAGTTTACCTGATTAGAAGCAGCTCTAGCCTCCTCCATCATACGACGGTTCTCCATCATCATTTGTCGATTCACCTCTGTGGCTCGATTGTTCTCTTCCACCAGCTTGCGATTCTCCTCCATCATCTGACGAACGACCCCCACAGCTTCACCAATATCACTACTAAGTATCATCGTTAGTAGGATCTCCGCCCCACCATTGTTTCCGGCCACTGGCTCTGATACTTGGTCATGTTCAATGTTGGTCACCTGCTGATGACTCGATATTTGCACATGTTTTCCCCTTTGTTTCTTGATCGTTTAAGCTTGCATTATCGCTTCTTTGGCCTATTTTACGCTAGGTTGTGTTCCTTTGTCACATTTCAGACCCTAGCACATAAAGTGAAGCGTAGGCGCAAGTTTCAAGTCAATCGGAGATCATTTGGCAATTCGGGAGAAGAAACACGAGCATGACCTGAGGAATAATGGATTTCTAACTCATATTATGGACAAATTATCATGTAAGTTTGTTATGAAAAGAAAGAGGACGAGACTACGAGCGTCTGGGTTCAACGGCGACTGATTTGGAGTCCGAACGAGGGAGAAACGAAGCTTTGAACAGGAGCGGAGGAAGAATTACGGGCAGGAGAATTACAACTGTAATTTACCCTCCCATGCCCGTATTTTCACTGCCGAGAGGAGCTTTGGGTGCGCTGAAACTTAACCAAAACGCGTGTTTTGGTTAAAATACGGGCATGGAAGAATTACGACCGTAATTCAGCCCGTATTTCGCCCAGAATCGGGTTTTTAGGCAGATTTGAGCCAAAGGAGAAGGGGTTCGGAGTTTTAGAGAGACAGAGCGATTCCTAGAGAGAGAAAGCGACGAACCAGAGTTCCCAAGTGCCCTAGCTTGATCTTCATCACCATTGGAGCCTGGCTTGAGCTTGGAGAAGTGCCGATTGACTACCAGGAGCAGAAACTCATCCTTCACAGTATGATTTCCGCATCTGAATCTGCTTTTGCTTCTCTCTCCATGGAGTAGTTTTCCCATTCATCTGGGTATGGAGAACTCTAGATTTGTATGTTAGGTCTGATTGTATGAACCCAAGTACAGATTTTATGAGTTTATTATATTCGATTGAGGCTTGAATGATTGAATGACTTGAATCCTGATCGAATTCCTGTTGTTTCTGCTTTAACCTAGAAAGAGAATATCTGCCTAGGTTGATAGAGCACCCTTAATTGAAGGTAGTGAATTGGTGACTTTAGTCGAGGAGCCAATTCACTATTCTGTATCGAATTTACTTCGGTAGTGGAGGTTTGGTTCGTTAGGGCCTCAATCTGTTTACTCCGGTGGAGGTTAGTCGCCCGCTGGAGACTCAGATTGAGAGGGTCTGGAAACCTTTAGTCAAGACTTCAGACTGCTTAAGAACCTTCCGCAGTATAACTATCATAAAACTGAACTTGGTAAATTGCAATCCGGCTTAACTACAGTCTAGGGGGAACCATATCCGGGTGACCTCTCTCGACTTGAAAACAACCGTTAACTAGCTTTGTTTGTTTGTTAATTTGGACTTGCACTAAAGTTTCGCTGCTAGATAACAAGAATTCACCGAGTAGTCATCAAATCTAGGACCCGGGTTGACATTAAAACCCAAACCCGCTATACTACGCTTTAGGAAGTGGTTACACTTGGCCATTTTCTAGAGTGACAGTAGGAGTGAGTCACCTGCTCCTGCACAAAACCCGCCGGAGTTTCACCTTCTTGACTGTTCCACCTCGGAGCCATCAAATCGAACACACGTCCCACCAGGTGTACCAATTTTTTTTCCCGACGAGAAAATCTAGATAGAACATAATTTAATGCACCTTCCACTTTTTACAAACGATTACCAAACACAGTTCAATCCTCTTCGAACAAAGTTCAAACAAGGGTGTTCAATGTTTCGAAGAACTACGATGCAGATCCACATTAAATTAGCCCAACTCCTATGGAGCTTCGGTGAGAGCTCCAAAACTACGACTATGGCTAAAGTTGTAGAGGAAAAGTGAAAAGGATAAAACTTGAAAAGTAGTGTCGATATGTGATTTTTGCAAACCCCTTCTCTGCCATCTTCATGGGGGTATACCGATGACCATCTTGGCCACCTTATCTCGCCCAAATTCGGCCATCCATCCCTTTTATTCACACTCAAGCCATCACTCCACCATACCACCCCTCCTCATCATCTTAGGAGGTGGTAAGCTCATCACCCCCTTGGACAA